ATATATGAGAAGAGGGAATCTTAATTGAAAGAATGCCTCTGTCAGATTGGCCTGTAGGGAAAGTCTGCCGAATATTTTCTTGATTGTGGTTGATGTGGGCGGGCCCACCTCTGGGCAGATAGTCCTGGGTTCTACAAGAAAGCAGGCTGAGTGAGCCATGGGGAGCAAGCCAGTGAGCAGCTCACCTCCATGGCCTCTGCTTCAGCTCCTGTCTTCTGGCTCCTGCCTGAGCTCCTGCCCTGACTTCCCTTCATGATGGACTGCGAGCTGTGAGATGAAATTAACCCTTTCCTCCTTCAGTTGCTGTGGTTGTGGTTTTTTAGCACAGCAATAGGAACCACATCCAAGACACCTGTTTCCTTCCTCAAAGCGTAAAGTTTTCTGTTAGATAACCCACTTTAATCTCCCTTTAAGAATATAAGCAAGGGGGCTGGAGAGATGGCTCAGGGGTTAAGAGCACTGGCTGCTCTTCCAGAGGTCCTGAGTTCAAATGGCAGCAACTACATGGTACCGTCTTCTGGCCTGCAGGGATGAACACTGTGTACATAATAATAATAATAATAAAAAAGAACATAAGCAGATGTATCCGCCTGCCTGCCTTCCAGCCTGCCTGCCTTCCAGCCTGCCTGCCTTCCAGCCTGCCTGCCTTCCAGCCTGCCTGTCTGTCTATCTTTCTGCCTGTCTGTCTATCTTTCTGCCTGCCTCTCTGTCTATCTTTCTGCCTGTCTGTCTATCTTTCTGTCTGTCTGCCTGTCCTCTGTGTATTCACATAACTGCTCTTTTCTCTGTCTCTCCCTCCATCTCTGACTCTGCTTCTCTCCCTGTCATCTATGTCTGTGTGAGGAAGATGTTAATGTAACCCTCCCCACCTCTGCCTGGGGATGGACCAAGCACCCAGCAGAGCCCAGCAGTTCTCTCTCACCGAGCAGGACTTCTTATAGAAAACGGCCCCGATTGGTAAGTCCCACTGGGCTGGAAGAGTAGTGGTCTACGTGGGGAGACGCAGCTTTCTGCAGTGTGGACCCTTGTCTCTGGACACTCTCCATGATCGTGTGGCATCTATGTCTTGGGTGTGCAGGGGCCCCATGCCCATTTGTGTCACCCAGGACTCTGTGGTGACGTCAGCTGATGTGAACCTCAGCAAGCGCTGGGTCCTGGGCTGACTGGTGGCAAAGGCAGCAAGGCCTGTGTATGGATCTGTGCTCAGCTGAAGCTAAGATCTTTGGTAGGACCCGTCATGTTCTCCCCTCCTGAGATAAAAGGTGGCACAGGCCACCTCACAGGCATCCGTTTCTATGGTTTTTGGTGGGATACAGAGCGAAAAAGTCTTGTTCAAAAACCTCTGGATTTACTAAACGTTTACTAAGTTTGCCACCAATATTAATAGGAAAACACACAGATTTTGAGTTCATACATATTTTTTTAATGAGGAATAGGGTTCAAAAAACCAGTAAAAGAGTCAGAGACAGCCCCAGCCCCCACTGTTAGGAGCCCCACAGGAAGGTCAGCTACACAGCTGTCTCATGCATGCAGAGGGCCTGGGTCAGTCCCTGGGTGTTGGCTCGGTCTCTGTGAACCCCTACGAGCCCAGATTATTTGGTTTTGTGGGTTTTCTTGTGACGTCTTTGACCTCTCTGGCTCCTATAATCCTTCCTCCCCCCTCTTCTTCAGGATTCCCTGAGCTCTGCCTAATGTTTGACTGTGGGCCAGCTTCTGTTTCCATCAGTTGCTGGATGAAGCCTCTCTGATGACCACTGGGCTAGACACCAATCCGTGTGGATGGCAGAATATCGTTAGGCATCATTACATTGACTTTTTTTTCTCCAGTTATATTTGGCTCTATCCTAGGTCTCTGGGCCATCCAGCCTCTGGGTCCTGGTGCTCCAGGCAGTGTTGGGGTGGGCTCACTCTCCCGACATGGGAATCAGGCTAGACCAGTCACTGGTCGGCCACCCTTATCCCAGCACATCCCATAGGCAAGACAGACTGTAGGCCAAAGGGTATGTGGCTGGGACGGTGTGTTACTCCCTCCACTGGAAGTCTTGTCTGGTCACTGGATGGCCAGTTCAGGCTTCATGTCCCCTGTTGCTAGGAGTCTTGGCTTGGGTGGTCCCTGTAGATTCCTGTGAGTTTCCCTGCACCAGGTTTCTGCCTGAGCCCCTTTCCAGTTCCCTCTTCCGGCACTCTCCCCCTTCATCTCTCCCCCACCTGACCCTCCTGCCTCCATCCCCACCACCCCCAGTCCACCCACAAGATCTCTCCTGTCCCCACCCCCAGCCCTCCTTGTTACCTAGCCTCTCTGGGTCTGTGGATTGTAGCCTGGTTATCTTTTACTTTACAGCTGTTATCCACTTACGAGTGAGTGCAAACCATGTTTGCCTTTCTGGGTCTGGGTTACCTCACTCAGGATGATTTTTTTTCTAGTTCCATCTATTTGCCTGCAAATTTCATGATGTCATTTAACATCTTTTTAACAGCTGAGTAGTACTCCATTGTGTAAATATGCCACATTTTCTTAATCCATTCTTTGGTTGAGGGACATCTAGGTTGTTTCCAGTCTCTGGCTATTATGAATAAAGCTGCTATGAGGATAGTTGAGCAAGTGTCCTTGTGGTATGATTGGACATCCTTTGGTTATATGCCCAAAGGTGTTATAGCTGGGTCTTGGGGTAGATCAGTTGCCAATTTTCTGAGAAATGGCCATATTGATTTCCAAAGTGGCTGTGCAAGTTGTCACTCCCGCCAGCAGTGGAGGAGTGCTCCCCTTGCTCCACATCCTCTCCAGCATGAGCTGTCACTTGTGCTTTTGATCTTAGCCATCTGACAGGAGTAACTTGTAATCTCAGAGTCCTTTTGATTTGCATTTCCCTGATGACTAAGGATGTTGGATATTTCTTTCAGTGTTTCTCAGTCATTTCCAATTCTTCTGTTGAGAATTCTCTGTTTAGATCTGTATACCATCTTTAAATTGGATTATTTGGTTTTTTTTGATGACTAGTTTCTTGAGTTATTTATATATTTTGGAAAGCAGTTCTCTGTCAGATATGAGGTTGGTGAAGATTTTTCCCCACTCTGTAGGCCGCTGTTTTGTCTTATTGACAGTGTCCTTTGCCTTACAGAAGCTTTTCAGTTTCAGGAGGTCCCATTTATCAATTATCCATCTCAGTGTCTGTGCTACTGGTGTAATGTTTAGAAAGTGGTCTCCTGTGCCAATGCGTTCAAGGCTACTTCCCACTTTCTCTTCTGTAAGGTTCAGTGTTTCTGGATTTATGTTGAGGTCTTTGATTCACTTGGAGTTGGTTTTTTTGCAGGATGATAGATAGGGACCTATTTGCATTCTTCTACATTCTGACATCCGGTTATGCCAGCACCGTTTGCTGAAGATGCTGTCCTCGTCCCATTGTATAATTTTGGCTTCTGTGTCAACAATCAGGATTTACACCTGGGTCTTTGAATCAGTTACATTGAGCCACCTGTCTGTTTTTATGCCAATACTATGCTGTTTTTTGTTACTGTAGTTCTGTAGCAGAGCTTAAAACCGAGGATGGTGAAGCCTCCGCAAGTTCTTTTATTGCACAGGATTGTTTTAGGTATCTTTTTTTTCCCCCATATGAAGTTGAGTATTGTTCTTTAAGGTCTATAAAGAATTTTGGTGGGATTTAATAGGGATTGTGTTGAATCTGTAGAATGTGGGACTCGGGTGTGATCCAGGGAGATCAGGACCCAGGAGGGATCCAGGGCTTGTAGTTAGTTGTACCTGGGAGAAGGGAATAAGAAAAGTCAGGAAAGTTGTGAGTCTGGCTAGTATGGTGAGAATTGTGGCTAATATGGTGAGGATTGTCAGAATAGGGTGAGCACGTGCCTGGTGCTTGGTGTAGAAGGCTGCCTGTGCCCACACCTGAGCTAATGGCAACTACCACTTCTTGGCTTTGGGTCTGTTCCCAGCCATGCCTCAAGTTTTCTCTCCTGCCTGAAATGTGAGCACTATGCCTCTTGACTTCTAACCCCTTGACTGGTTATCCCTTAAAAATAGACCAGGAACTTGGAAAGGAGACACACATGGATTCAGTGTCAATACATAATCTGCAGAGTGGTTTCAGGTCTGCTGTCCACCCGTGGTAAACAAACTTCTGTGTCACTCTTGATGTCCCTGTACTATGCAGCCATTCCTCTAGCCTGGAACTCGGGAGCTTGACTGAGTGCGTGTGCGAGTGCGTGTGTGCGTGCGCTTGCATGTGTGTGTGTATGTGTGTGCATGCATGTGTGTGTGTGTGTGTGTGTGTGTGTGTGCCCCTTTCCTGTTTGCATCTGGGTCTAGAACCTGCCATAGTTTGATTCTGTCTGATAAGTGTCACTGGTCATTGCTTGCTGTTGAGAGACCCTTACGTTTTGGATGTTAGCACCATGTTTCTGTTCCTGTCAGTCACCGGGTGTGGCTCTTATGCAGGAGCTGTGTCTGTGTGGACATGTTGCCCCTGCTGAGACGGGGATCTGTATGCTCCTCTGGTCTCCCGTGGTCCATCTGCTTTCTCCACTCCCTGTTGTGTATCCGAGGCGTTGTTTTCCAGCCGGGCTGGATTTGAACTCAGCTCAGAATTTGAGCAAATCATTCCCCATTTGAAGATTTACCTTCTTCTTAAAATTTTTGAATATATTTTTAATTAAAATGTGTCACTTTTTCCTCCCTTCTCCTCCCCCTTGCCTCTTCAATGACTCCTCTCTCTAACCCTCTCATAACTCCCTTACAAGACACAGGTCTAGGAAATAGGATTCCATTTGCCCAGGAATTAAGGCCAACAATCGACAAGTGGGACCTTGTGAAAATCAATTGCTTTTGTCAACACGCACGGGCTAATTTCAGGTGTAAGTGAGATAGCACACGTGGGTTTGAACGAAACTAAGAATGAAAACATAGCTGATGGGGTCTTGTCGCCTGCCGCCTGTCTGATCACTACAGCGCACAAGCTGTTGGGTTGACCTTTCCATTATGCTTCCCCCAGGACTTCGTGTCGACAATCATCCGTTTGCTGGACAGTCCGTCCACCGCCATCAGAGCCAAAGCCTTCCTGGTGCTGCTTTACATCCTCATTCATAACCGGGACACGCTGCTGCTGAGCTGCCAAGCCAGGTACGGCGCCTCCGAGAGAGCGTCTGCGGGGCCCGTTGGTCCGTGGCGTGCGCGTGCGTGCATGTGTGTGTGTGTGCGTGCGTGTGTGTGTGTCCATTAGACGACTTTTATGTATCTAGTACTGAAAACATTTTCTAAAGTTTGCCAAGAGTTTTAATCCGCCTCTCTGCTATCCTCATCTTGTAAGCCCAGAGAGGGCCCTGAGCACAAGCAGGTGAGGTCTCAAGCTGGTGGGCTCTGTGCCTTCAGGGGACCAGAGGTTTCCCTGTAAGACAAAGGCTGAGGGGCTGAAGGCCCCATTGTAGTGGGGGGGGCATGAATATTTGCAGAACAGCTGGGCTCGTGTCTGCCTGTCACTTTGAGATTTTCTATTTTGTTTGTTCCTTTTAGAAAGGGATTAGTTTTGTAGCCTAGGCTAGCCTTGAACTCTTGGACCTCCTGCCTTAGCCTCCCCAGCACTGGGGTGGCAGGTGTGAACCGCCACACTGGGCTCTCTGCTCCACCCTTCCTGTCAAAGGAGGAGCTGTCCTGGGCGCCCCCAAAGTTCTGTTTGTGCGGGGCTCATTCTCACCAACATTTCTCAGTTCCTCAGCCCTGTTCCACTGGAGTCCAGAGAGTCCTGAAAATCTAGTCTGTACCTTTTCATTTGGAGCCAGGGGCTCCCTGCATAGCCCAGGCTGCCCTGGAGCTTACTGTGTAGCTCAGGCTAGCCTTGAAGTTGTGATCTTCATGCCTCAGTCTCCCCAAGAGGTGGGATTACCGACATCATGGAAACCCTGGGGTAGTTTGGTTAGGACTAGGGTCCTCCACCCCCTCCTGTGAGGGGCTGCCCTGCTCTAGGCAGTTATGGTGACCTCGGGAAGACGTGGTGGTCTCATGTGGAGGACGCTGCCCTGTGAACCCTCCCAGGGCAGCGCTAGGGTGTGGACTGCGGCCTGAAGGAGAGACGATCTCCCCTGGCCCTGGCTGCTGAACTTGGTCAGCCACTGAGCCGGGAGGACGTCCTGGTGCATGTAGGAAACCTTGGAGGAGAAAGAACAGGACCACCATGCAGCCCCTAGCGGAACAAGTGACCGAGGGGCCCGGAGAACCCCAGCTGTCAGTGTGACTCCACAAGAGGCTTTGTGGATGTCAGCAGAACTGGAAAGAGACGGCCCCTGCAGGGATGGCCCTGTGAACCAACGGCAAAGACTCGGGTGCGGCTTACAGCCCCCAGAAGACACGGAGCAGGTTCTGGAGATTCTGGGCGGGGGCAGGGGCAGGGGCAGATGATGTTTAACTCAGGACGTTGGTGCAGGCGTCTTCTGGATGCAGCCTCTCTGTTGGTGCTTGCTTGACGTGGACAGGGTTAGAAAGACCAGTGACTGAGGCAGAGAGGAAGATGGTGGCCAGGTGGGTGTGTTACCTCACAGCTGTGCTTTGAATGTTGGAAGGTGGCTGGCAGCTCGCTCACCCAGCAGGAAGGAAGCAGCGGAGGAGAAGGCTGGAATTGGGGACGGTGCTGCGAGGGTTAGAGCATGTCCCTGGAGATTGGATCCCCAGCCACTGTCCCCTGTAGAGAGCCCGGGGGCTCCTTGTCTCACGCACTGAGGTGGACAGCTGCAGAGGAACAACACCCAACACATGCACACAAACACACAGGCACACACAGACACGGGCATACATACACACACGTGTGTGCGCGCGCGCGCACACACACACACACACACACACACACACACACACACAGGCAAAGACAGGTCAGGGTTGGTGTGGAAGTGCTCTCCTTCATTACTGAAGCTGCTTCCATTGCCCTTGTTACCACACCCCTTCCTCTGGACACACCCCCTTCCCTGGACACACCCCTTCCTCTGGACACACCCCTTCCCCCTGGACACCCCCTTCCCTGGACACATCCCTTCCTCTGGCCTCTGCCTTCATCCTTCCTGGTCTCCTGGTCTCAGGAGACTCATGCTACGCGGTTCCCCAGGCAGCCCACCTCCTGCTTACTCTTTGGAGTCTCGTTAGGCTTGTTTTAATTGTTTAACATTTATATTACTGTGATGTCCAGTGGTTCTTGGTTGTGAGAGAGAACTCAGAAGACTGAGACTGCCCCATCTCAGCAGATGAGGGAGTCACAAGTCACTTTTGAAGATTGCCCGGGGAAGTTCTAGTTGCTGCAGCCTCCAGGAATGAGCCAGGAAACGTCTTTGACAGTAAATGCACACCACTTTGGTTTTGGCAGTTTTACATTTGATATCCGGCCACTGTGAACGTAAACGGTTGGGTTTCCATGCCCCAGGGTGTCCAGTCGGTCTCGTTACAGCCGGTACTGATGGCATGGGATCCGGGGAGTAGTCAGTGATTGACCTGGCTTGCTCTCGAGGTGTCGGTAAGGAAGGAAGAGAAGGGCCGGTTTTGTGTTAGTTGTGAGCATGTTTTGGGGAAAGAACAACCCTCAGTGACAGAACACGTCTATTTTCATGTGTCCTGTAAAAACCCTTTCCTGTATCTGTATAAAACTCCGAAGGATGATACCAAATTGATTATCTGAGGGGGGGGGCAAGGCAGGGGTGAGTGGGGTGGGGGCAGAGGGGTCACGCACCTCCACTCATGTGTCTTTAGGTTTGAGTGTGAAGGGGGGACCCCAGTGGCTCATGGCTCTGTTTGTACAGAGCAGTGTCGCCCCTTTCCTGGTCCCTGCCGCCCCTGCTGAGCCCCAGCAGTCATCCTGCTGTCTGTCTGTCTGTCTGTTTGCCCCTGAGCCCCATCGTTGGTGCTGCTGTCTGTCTGTCTGCCCCTGAGCCCCATTGTTGGTGCTGCTGTCTGTCTGTCTGTCTGCTCCTGAGCCCCAGCGGTCATCCTGCTGTCTGTCTGTCCGCCTGCCGCTGATGGGTGCTTCCCACCCCTGCCTGCCATGGCCTTTGTGGTGCTCGGTGGATGTTTGTTCTGTCTCCTGTCACCGCCGCCACCACCGTCTCGTGACGGCCTGTATCCCAGCACGTTTTTTTGTGATGTCAGCTCTCCATCCATCTCCCATGGAACTGAGCCATCACACCCGGCAGAATTGATGTGACAGCCCCCAAATGTCCACCCATTTCTTCAAATGACTCTGTACTCAGATGGAGCGTGACAGGTGATGAAATGCGCCTTCAGCATCTCTGGGAATGATCGGTACTTGGGAGTTCATGGAGAGGCATGCCGTGAGCTAGGTGTGGTGAGAGCCTCCTCCTGAGGGATCAGGCTTCCTAGAGGCGTTCTCCCCCTCCCCCACCTGCTTTGATCTTAAAAGAAAGGTTTTCTTAAAGAAATATTTACACGGGATAATTGGTTAACTGTGTGGGAAAATTTATTTTCTATGCTTATATAAAAGTTAATTCCAGATGGATTAAGGAATTCTATTCCCCAAAGAAACCATGAACAGCTTGGAAGAGAAAAGAAAGCAGAGAAGCAAATACTTAGCCTGCTTTTGTATAACCTGGAAAATTTCCTCTCCCCTAAAAACCATAGTTGTGAAGCTCTGGGTTCTCCCACAGAGGACCTGGGTTCAGTTCTCAGCACCCACACGGCGGCTCACAGCGCCTGTAACCCCAGCTCCGGGGCCTGTGGCGTTCCTTCTCTGAGTGCTGTGCCCGCGTGGCCTCGGTGGGCTCTGAACCTGGCCGTCTTGCTTCCACAGCGCGCTTTGCCCACTGGGCTGTCTCCCCGGCTCTCTTCACTAGAGCCTCCTGCCCCCAGTCTCAAGCTTGCGTCTCTGACCACCTGCTGAGCTCCCGGTGCTCCCTGGTCTCTATCTCTAACTGCCTGCTGAGCTCTCGCCCGGTGCTCCCTGGTCTCTATCTCTCACCACCTGCTGAGCTCTCGCCCGGTGCTCCCTGGTCTCTATCTCTAACCACCTGCTGAGCTCTCGCCCGGTGCTCCCTGGTCTCTATCTCTAACCACCTGCTGAGCTCTCGCCCGGTGTTCCCTGGTCTCTGACCGCCTGCTGAGCTCTCGCCCGGTGCTCCCTGGCGGGATGCACCTGCAACTTTAGTCAGCTCAGCTGAAAGGCAGGGTGCAGCCAGCTGTGGTTTGCAGTCCCGCTCACTGGATGGTGTCCTCCGAGGGTCACATTTGGTTGGGTCTGGATCTCAGCAAACAGAAGGCTGTTTTCTTATGGGCATACTCTGTAGCTGGGCTTCAAAACGTGACTAAATCTCAACTTAAGGAAAGATACTTTAGACTTGAGTGGTTAGACAGAACATCATTCAATTTTGTGGCGAATAATTTAGATTTTAGAGATAATTTGAACCCTTAAAGACATGTAAGAATGTACTTTTGTACGCTGTGGATTTGGGAAACAGTTTTCTTCTTTTGATTCTCTGACTACGTAAAGCTAAGCACCCCCTTTAACCTGTCTCTACATCTGGGTTAGCTATTGATTTAGGGGACTTTCCAGGACAGGGAGGAAAACTCACTTTGGAGTTATCCAAGTCTTTATCCCAGTTTGGGTAGAAGTGGCCCCGATGTTCTCTGTGCATTCCAGAGGCAGGCGTCGATGTCGCCTGGAGAAGGCTGACACCCGCTGCACAGCGTACTCTGTAGTGCGTGCGTGTGTGGAGACCACGCTCAGTAGAGACTGGAGTCCTCCGGGACCGGAATTCAGAGTCAGAGGGATAGAAAGAGAATGTGGAGCCGAGGGTGGGGGCCACGGGAAAAGTCTGGCGCCGCCTTATGTAAATGTCAGTGAGGAAACAGATACCTGTCCCTAAGTTATGCCATGCAAGACCAGGTGGGCCTGTAGTACATTAGCTTGTGAAAGGGTGACAACTGTGGCCTCGGTTCCCAACTCTGCAGACAGGACCCACAGGGGCCAGCCTAAAGGAAACACTGATACATATTAACTTAGTTAGGGTTTCTGTTAGATTCAAAGTTAAAATCAAACAAAACAATCCAAATCAAGCTGTAGGTTAGGGACGGCACTTGTGACATGAGTATTTCCCCATTGAGCTTCTAACCCAACAGGCCAGAGAATCCAGGAGAAAAACAAACACAACTTAATAGGTCCTTCACATGCGCGTCTCTTCACACACACACACAAACTCACGCACACACGCACACATACAAACTCACGCACAGCAGACATCTTTTTTTTTTTTTTTTTTTTTGGTTTTTCGAGACAGGGTTTCTCTATTGTTTTGGAGGCTGTCCTGGAACTAGCTCTTGTAGACCAGGCTGGCCTCGAACTCACAGAGATCCGCCTACCTCTGCCTCCCAAGTGCTGGGATTAAAGGCGTGAGCCACCAATGCCCAGCACACAGCAGACATCTTAAACTAATGGACAGAGAGATGTGCAAACAAAACTATTGCTGTCCACCTTTCCCAAAAGAACTAGACTTCATTTGAAAGACCGGGACTTCCAATCAAGTTTTAATATCAATGACCAACAAAAGGGCTGGTACCTGTGGTTCTCCCTTGATCCTGGGACACCGAGAACCCATCTGTCACTTGGGGAATGTGTCTTTGCATTGGGCAAAGGCAAATGAAATCAGGGTGTTGTGTACCACGTGGGCAGAGACCTTTAATGCAGCCTTGCTTCTGCATAAATGTCTGAACTTGTGAAGCGTGGCTGACTAGGCATGGCCAGGCAGCACGGCCAGGACCGCACCTCTGGAAACCCCTGTCTCCCTGGTGTCTCAGACAGACACTGTGTGTCTCGTCATGAGCAGTGACCTTTGCCCGGTGCTCTTCGCAGGCTGGTGATGTACATCGAGAGAGACAGCAGGAAGACCTCCCCCGGGCAAGGAGCTGCAGGCCGGGAGCGAGTACCTGGCCAGGTGCCTGGATCTCCTCATCCAGCACATGGTACAGGAGCCACCGCGGATCCTAGGTAAACGACGGACACCTTCTCGGGGCCCATAGCCGGTTACCTTCCTGCGGGAGGCTCTGACATCCCCTCTTCTTCATTCTTGTTCTCTTCTGTTTTAAAATTAGTTTAAAAATTGGTTGCGTGGGAATTTCACATGTGTGTATGTTTTGAACATGCTCACCCCCTCCCCCTCCTCCCCTCCCCTCCCCATCCCTCCCTACCCTTTGACTTCCTCTCCTCCTCGTCGTCGTCTTTGTCAGTCTTCTTTGTCTTCTTTTGGTCTGCCTCCTCCTCCTTTTCCTTCTTTCCTAATCAAGCCCAGCTGGCATTGCCCAGCCAGTCTTGGGACTGGGGTTCTGAGGTGTGGTCAGCCCACGGGAGTATTTCAATAAAACAAAACAAACCCTTATCTGACTCTCTCACTCCAGCAGCCATCAAATGGTGGCAGCGCATCAGTTTCCTTGTCGTCTGTGCTGGGATTTTTGTCTGGCTGGGGCTTGCACAGGCCTTGTGCCCGCTGTCACAACCTCTGAGTCTCCCTGTCTCTCCTGTTGCAGTGCAGTGTGGAGACATTTCTCTGGAACACTGGCTTCAAGACTTAGGTTTCCTAGTCTGTTTTATAGGATTGAGATGTGTTACACTTGTGTGTTACCTGAGGTAGATAATATTCTTAGTTAGGGTTTCTATGGCCGTGAAGAGACACCATGAGCACAGCATCTCTTCTACAGAAAGCATTTCATTGGCGCCATTATCATCATGACAGGAAGCTTAGTGGGATGCAAGCAGACGTGGTGCTGGAGAGGTAGCAGAGAGTTCTACATCCGCATTGGCAGGCAGCAGGAAGAGACTGCCACACTGGGCCTGGCTTGAGCATCTGAGAGCTCAGAGCCCACCCCCAGTGACACCCTTCCTTCAACAAGGCCATACCTCCTGATAGTGCCACTCCCTATGGGCCTATGGGGGACATTTTTATTCAAACCACTACAGTGGCAAGTCAAGAAAATAAACAGAGTGGAAACAAGAATATGGTTCAGCCAGCTCTTGGCTGGCATGCGTGGAGCCTTGGGTCCATCACCAGCATTGCGTAGTCAAGTGTGGTGGTGCCGTCCTGTAACCCAGCATTCAGGAGGTAAAGGCAGGAGATCAAAAGTTCAAGGTTACCCTTAGCCACACAGCAAGTCTGAGACCCTTCTAGGTCTCAAAATAGAAAAAACTAAAATCCCCAAAACAAAAACCATGCCCAACAACAATAACTTAATACTGGATCTCATATGGTCAGTTTGAATTAATTTTCTCAAGATTTCTCCCTGCCCATATATGCACTTGATCCAAGCCGAAAGGCTGAAAAGCAATTTGAAATAATATTCTTTGAAATTAGAGCCATAAATACATTTGTTATTAAAATAATTTTAAAAATGCATATTTTGTTTTATTGTTTGGATTTGTTGTTGTTGTTGTTGTTTGAGACATGGTCTCGTTATGTAGCCCAGGCTGGCCCGGGACTCTGCCTCTGCCTCTCTTGAGTGTTGGGATTAGAGGTGTGTGCCACCAGACCCATTTTTCGTTTCTTGTTGCTGTTGGTTTTTTGTTTCATTTTTGTTGAGACAAAGTTTGGGTTGGAATTGAACCCACTATGTAGTAGCAGAGCCTGGCTTTGAACCCCTGACCCTGTGCCTCCGTCCTCCAGGTGCTAAGATTTCAGATGTCCAGCACCACATCCAGGCTTAAGCTCCTAATTTGAATGTTGAAGTTTGCTGTCACAGATCTGGATGGTGTGGGTTGCTTGAAGAACTATCTTTAGTGTGAGGACACGAGGGACAACCTGCAGGGTTGCGAGCTGCACCTAGGGAAAGGCCTTGCTTGTCATTTTTGGAAATTAAAGTGCAGTGAGGCGGGCTTGGGGCTGCTCTGGCTCCTTTCCTCTGCGCTCCCAGCAGGTGTGGCTCTAACCCAGAAGTCTTGAGCACACTGAATTTGATTCAAGCCGTCTTTCGTGAAGATGTGGAGCTACAGATGTGAGAGGAATGATGAGGTCATCATAACTGCCAGTAACTCTTACAGCCAGTTAGGAAACATTTTCCACCTAGTGACTGAGAAGAGAGCACCTCACAGTGAGTCAGCAAAAATGTTGGAAATTGGGGCTGGAGAGACGGCTCAGCAGTCACAGGCACTGGCTGCTATTCCAGAGGTCCTAGGCTCAATTCCCAGCAACCACACGGTGGCTCACAACCATTTATAACTCCAGCTCCAGGGGATCCAATGCCCTCTCCTGGGTACTTGCGTGCACACATGCACGCATGCACACACACACACATACACACACACTCATACACTAGTAGTTTGAAATGCTCCCAAAGGGAGTGGTACTATTAGGAGGTGTGGCCTTGTTGAAGGAAGTTGTGGAGGTAGCTTTGAGGTTTCATATATGCTCAAGATACCACCCAGTGTCTCAGACCACTTCTTGTTGCCTGTGAGTCAAGCGGTAGGACTCTCAGCTCCATCTCCAGCATCACGTCTGCCTGCACGCCGCTGTGCTGCATCATAATAATAATGCACTAAACCTCCAAAAATGTAAGCCAGCCCAATTACAAGTTTTTCCTTTATAAGAATTGACTTGGTCATGGTGTCTCTTCATAGCAATAGAAACCCTAAGATTGACAGACAGGCATATGCACACACAAATAAAATAAAATTTAAAAGTTTTGAACATTGATCTCTTTTCTCCATCCTTGGAAGTGGCGGGGCACACATTTAATCCCAGCTCCTGGGAGTCAAAGGCAGGCAGATTTCTATAAGTTCAAGGCCAGCCTGGCCTACAGAGAAAATTCCAGGACAGCTAAGGCTACAGAGAAAGCCTGTCTTGAAAAAGAAATACTGCTTCCTCTTTTCCCCACCACATTTGTCTTTCTTTCTGATTTCCTTTTCAATCTGTTTACTTGGAATTTTAAATTAGTTTTCTAAAGCAGTAAGCAATAACAGTCAATCTGGACAATACAAATACGATTCTAAGGTCACTACTGTTTCATAACTATTGATAAATTCTCTTTCATTTCTAGGTTAGAGGTCAGTTGATAGTGCCTATGCAGATTGCCACATTCTATCCCCAGAGTGTGGATTCCTGGGGATGTGGCTCAGTTGGTAGAGTTCTTGCCTAGGATGCATGAAGCCCTGGGTTTGGTTCCTAGCACTGTATAGAATCAGACATGGTGGCACACACCAAAGCCACAGCCTTACCTGGGCGGTGGAGGCAGGAGGCTGACCCTCAGCTACATATCGAGTTGGGGGCCAGCCTTAGCTACGTGAGACCCTGTCTCAAGAGAAAGTGTGAATGAAAACTCAGTGGCTACCCACCACCTTAGGTTGAGGTGGATTACCTCACCTGCTGGGTTGGAGTGGAGCCATGGCCGGAGGCTCCCGTCCCTCTGTGGCCTCAACCCTCCCTGATGTGCTCCACAGGCGACATTCTCAATGCCCTGGCCAACGTGTCTGGACGAAAGCATCCGTCAACGGTCCAGGGGAAGCAACTGAAGATGTGTCTACCCATGATGCCTGTGGTGCTCCACCTGGTCATGTCTCAGGTACCCTGTCAGGGGAAGACGCAACATGCGTGGGCCCTGCCCCTGCCCCGGAGCGGGGCCGCCCCTGCTGAGAATTCTCTCTGCTTGTCTTTGACTGAGTTAACTCATGGCTGTCGGGATCTAATCCAGGGAACTCTCGTCCCACAGGTGTTCCGGCCTCTAGTGGTGACTGAAGAGTTCCTGTTCAGCTATGGGACTATTCTGGTGAGTAGCACATCTGGCTAACAGTGCCGCCATTGCAGCTGGCTGCGGGATGGGCTGTGAGAAGGAAGGAATTAAAAGTCTAAATGGCATTTGTTTGTAGGAAAGTGACCTTTTATATTTTTATCTGTTCACCGTAATAAAATTTGACATTTGGGGAAAATACATTCTCTCCTGATAATGTATTTTGTTCAGAGGCAGCCCCAAATAGGGTGGGGGGAAAAAGCCCCCCATACTCGGTAGGCATCAAGTTAAGGATTTGAAAGGACATGGTGAGAGTGGGGGCTGGGGTGCTGCCGTTAAACTCCCGATCTCTCGGTCCAGTCACACGCATGGCTGTCTGTGACGATGCTTTGCGAAGTTAAACTCCATTGGTTCCCTCCTTTACTTGACTTTGACAACGTGAGAAGACACGGACACCAAGGGAGGGTGCTGCTTCTCATCCCTTCTGCACACACAAGGCTTCTCCATGATGCTGTGGTCCAGGGGTGACAGGGTGTGCTGTGAGTGTGCTGAGTGTGTGCTGTGAGTGTGCTATGGGTGTGCTGAGTGTGTGCTGTGGGTGTGCTGTGAGTGTGTTGTGGGTGTTCTGAGGGTGTGCTGTGGGTGCACTGAGTGTGTGCTGTGGGTGTGCTGAGTGTGTGTTGTGGGTGTCCTGAGTGTGTGCTGGGTGTGTGCTGAGTGTATGCTGTGTGTGCTGTGTGTGTGCTGGGTGTGTACTGTGGGTGTGCTGAAGGTGTGCTGTGCTGAGTGTGCACTGAGTGTGTGCTGTGTGTGTGCTGTGTGTGTGCTGAGTGTGTGCTGAGTGTGTGTTGTGGGTGTCCTGAGGTTGTGTTGTGGGTGTGCTGAGTGTGTGTTGTGGGTGTCCTGAGTGTGTGCTGGGTGTGTGCTGTGTGTGTGCTGTGTGTGTGCTGTGTGTGTACCGTGGGTGTGCTGAAGGTGTGCTGTGCTGAGTGTGCACTGAGTGTGTGTTGTGGGTACGCTGAGGCCAGACAAGCATGGCAAGCTTAGTCATGTCGCTCACCACCTGGAGCCTGACCTTGATGTCCACAGGAAGCCCACGAGCTTGGGAAGTGTGACAGAGCCACACGGGCAGAGCACAGTGCATTTCAGTTTTATTGTTGTCTGAGGTCAATATCAGGGTGGTCATGAGGGACTCTTTGGGCTCAGTTTTGACTTTATCCTCATGCTGTGAACTCTGAACCAGAACATTCCTGCAGCGGGCTGTGCTTTTTCCTGCATTTGTAACCCTTGCACTGATCATCTGTCACCGTCTGTACTTTACTTTGTCTCTTAGCAAGAACGTGTTATGTAACAACATTCGCGCCCAGGTCTGGAACAGTCTTGGCCACTGTAGCCTGCCGTGGAGTGCGTCTCAGTGTCGAGTAGACAGACGTGGCCTGTGTTCTGCGTGCTCTCCACTCGCCTGCACTTCCTGCCCTATCCCCCTCCTCCTGCCACTTTCCAGGTTTTTGCCCGCAGTGAGCAGCTTGCTTTACACTTTACATTTCACCAGCCTTGCGTTGTCCTCACTGGGGAGGCCTCTGTGTGGACTTTCAGGAATGGCACCGCATGGGCTCAGAGACAAGGCCGGAGACCCCGCTGGGGAAGGCTCCTCACTTCTCCAGGAACGGGTCTGCTGTTTGTTGGTCTTCCGTAGGGTTGCCTCCATACAGGTGTTTGTGGAGAACTGAAAACAGCTCGCCTGGTTCATTATGGTGAGAGCCTCCACATTTCTGTCTGTCGTTCTCAGGAGGGAGTTGAAAGGAAACGGCAAGCATTGCGTTTTGAGGCTGTTGAGATGGCTCAGTGGTTAGAGGTGCTCGTAGGCAAGCTTAAGGATCTGAGCCCCAGGTGGAAAGAGAGGCCTGACTCCTCCTGCAAGTTATCTAAGTGCACGTGTGTGTGTGTGAGCACACACAAAGCGCACATATACACACACTGGCACCTACACACAATCACACGTGTGGGCACACATGCATGCAAACACATGCACACACGCACGTGCGCACATGCACGCACACATACACGCATGAATACACACACATACATGCGTGCGCATGAAGGGATGAGGTGGTGCTTAGTGGGGCCACTTTCCGAGTCTGCATCATGGCCGGTCCTGGGTACCTTGGTGACTTTCCTCACTGTACCTGCTGTGCCCTTCTGCACTCAGGGTTGGTGGCTTTGGTGTGACACGGGAAAGCAGTAGGTTCCTGTCTAATCCACACCCCGGTTCAATTACCTGCGCAGTTTGTGTCCGCTTATCGTGGGCTGTTGATGTGACACCGGAGCCTGGAAGTTGGCCGTGGTGTCTGTCACCATGTCTTCTGCACGCCATCCTTTGAGGCTGGGACTGTTGTGGAACCCAGAATTCGCTGGCTGTCAGTGGGCTTCTAGTTTCCTGCCTCAGCCTTCTGGTCTTTCATAGTCAGCTCCGGGGGTCAGCCTGATGTGACCCAGCCGCTCTTGGGGAGAGGGAATCTCAGCTGACAAATTGCCTGGAACAGACTGACCTGAGGGTGTGTCTGTGAGGCATTTTCTCAATTGCTAAGGATGTAGATAGGCCCCGCCCACTGTGGGCGGTGCCATCCCTGGGCAAGCGTGCTGTTGGATAAGTGAGGGAGCCCAGCAAGAGAGGAAGCGAGCCAGTAAGCGGGGCTCCTCCATCGTCTGCCTCAAGCTCCCTCAGTGATGGACCGTGCATTGTAAGCTAAACAAGCCCTTCCCTCCCAAATGTGTCTGGTTGTGGTGTTTATACAGCAACAGAGAGCAAACTAGGACAGCCTTGCTGTGGGCTACAGGTGCGTACTGCCGCTGTGGTCCCGGCTTTGGCGTGGGTGCACACTGAACTCGGGCAGATGCTCAAGCTTGCTCAGCAATCTCTTGTCCTACGGAGCTGTCTTCCTATCCCAGCGCAGTGAAGAAAAGCTGTGCCCGGTCCATCTGGAGATCAATATTCTTTTTAGTGTTTTCCAAGTATGCCCAGGTCGTCTCCATCACGGCAGGCTTATTGCTTAGCTTTTAAAAACTGCCCTACCCCGAGATGCTCAGTTCCAGCGGTACTCAGGAACAGCATATGCCTTTGGGAACTCGTTGCCTTTGGGTAAAGTGGGTGGGAGGGAGACCCGGGCTTTGGTGTCTTCACTCATTGCAAGGGCTCTTAAAAGAGGGGACCTGGAGGGCGTGGCCCTGTGCGTGTGGTAGTGGCTGACACCAGGTCACGGTTTGCCTGTGGTGTGGAAGGAACCTTACCACCCTCATTAGAGCAGCTGTGACAATTCCCTCACAGGAGGGGAGGGCACTAGCCCCCTCCCGGCTGTACGCACTTCTACGTCATTTGCACGTCGTGGTCGTATGGTCTGATGCGGCTCTAGAGCCATGGCTCCCAACCTGGGGGTTGAGTGACCCTCCCAACACTCGCAAAATTAGTTATGAAGTAGCAGTGAAAAGAATTTTATGGTTGGCCATCAGCATTCGGAAGGCCGAGAACCACTGCTCTGGAGTGTCTAGAGATGGAAGGAGAATGAATGGTGGTGGGCAGACTCGACCTGTGGGAACAGCTCGTCCGTGCTGGCAGGTGAGCTGCTCCTTGTCACCCGCAGCCCTGCTCTGTAAGTAAACCCAGCAAGCCCAGTGGCTGGCTAAGCCGGGCGCTGATGGAGTGGTTGCTTTGGTCTGTGGTTGCTGCCCTTTTACGGTAGAGCATGCTAGATAATTACATATGGTGCATGAGTATAGAAATTAACTGTGTAAACATCTCCCCCAAATAAGTGACATTTGGGTCTTAAGGAGACTGCTGTCTGGCCACAGTAGCAGGGGCTTTTACACTATCTTGGGCTTTCACAGGTTCCACGAGAGGGGGGTTAGCCAACTGCTGATGGCTGCCTCCCACCGTGCTGGGAAGGCAGCCCGTCCCCACACCAGCTGCCTCTCTAAGGCTCGCAGCCAGAGCTGGGGAGGCTGTGGGGACCCCGTTGAACTGGGCCAGAGCACAGGAAGAAGGGATGACAGAGAAACAAGTGGGCGGATCCTGAAGGATGTTGACCCACTGTGCACTGTGTGTCCTTTCCCAAGGTTCTTGTGTGAAGAGCCCGCGACCGGGCCTTGCCTGTGCTCAAGGCCTGACCTCGCCGGCTCGTACGAGCGCAGTGACTGACAGACAGGACTTCCCACACCTGTGCACAGCCTCCTGACACGGGAATGCTGATTTGCTGATGTTCTTGTGAGGAGTTTTTCTGTCTCCGTACTGACTGTACACGCTGAGGTGGGCAGGGCTGCCCTTGGCCTGGTGCAAAGCCCGTTTTAACCCCCTGAACCATCTCTGCAGCCCTGACAGGGCTGCTCCCTGCCCTTGCTCTCCCAGCTGGTGGCCTGACCCTGGGGTCTCTGCGTTCTCTGTCCCGTGTGGAGATCCCGTTTTGCTGTCCATGCTCTCTGTGGCCACCCGGGTCCTGGGCGTGGTCACCTGCTGACTCTGTGTCACTGCCTCTCACTTTCCTGGTGGCTGTGGCCCTGACCAAGCGGCCTAAGGAAGAATTTATTTTGACTCCATGTTGGAGGGTTATTTCACCATCAGATAACTATTGTTGACTCAAAAGAAGAGAAAAATTAGTGTTAAATCCGAGAATGTATGGGGTAGTGAGTGGTGGCTCCAGCCTGTCTCCTCAGGGCTGTCCCAGGACCTGGTTTTCTGGGTGTCTGCTGTGACAGCTGCTGTCAGGTGGCCAGCCTTCCCGTGGCGTCTTCAGATAGTCGCCTGGAAAGGATCAGCGCGCGCCTGCGCGCGCACACACACACACACACACACACACACACACACACACACACACACACACACACACACACACACACACACACAGCCCATGCTTGCCATGGGCATCACAGGTAGTTGATTTATTTTTTTAAGTCAAAGATGTTAAAGGAATCACGATGTTGAGAAACTTATTTTGGGGTATCACTCTAGTGGACCATGTCTAGATGTGGGGTTGCACTGCACACGCTTGCCCATTCTCTGTCTTATAGAAGAATTTTTACACGTTTGGGCGTTTGTGTGCATGCACCGCAGTGCCTGTGCAGATAGCTTGCAGGAGTCCATTCTGTCCTTCTGTCCCTGGGAGTGAACTCGGTGTCTGGCTTGGTGGCAAGCTCCTTTACCTGCACAACCATCTCTCCTCCGCCTCTCCTCTTAAAAAAGAAGACATTTCTTTCGGAATTTTTAGTTTGGCATCAAATTAATCATTTTAGAAATTTTGTCTCATTTTGGAAATTTGTGAATCTTTTGTTTGTTTGTTTGGAGACAGGGTTTCTCTGTGGCTTTGGAGGCTGTCCTGGAACTCGCTCTTGTAGACCAGGCTGGTCTTGAACTCACAGAGATCCGCCTGCCTCTGCCTCCCGAGTGCTGGGATTAGAGGCGTGTGTCACCAAAGCCTGGCTGGAAATTTGTGAATCTATTTCAACCAAGTTATTATAAAAAGATTCTGTTCTACCCTTTATGATGAACTTTAAACATCCTCCCTTGTGGGTGATCTGAAGAGAGCTGAGGTTTTGAATTTTTGCTTTTTGGAGAACTTTGATTTCCTGGATTCTTGGGTTTTGTTTATAACAAACACCTTCACCTTTCAATTTCTCCTCCTTCCCACTGAGGCAAAAGAGAGGAGGAGGAGGAGGAGGAGGAGGAGGAGGAAGAGGCCTGGGGAGCCCAGCTGCCTGGACAGGGATTTTCTCCTGGGATTTTTCCATGATCATATATTTATGAGTAAAGCATGCATACACATAAAATTAATCTTTAAAAATTAGAATGTTTCTTATTAAATTAAGTATGCATGTGTATCTGTGTGTGTGTGGTATATACTCATGTATGTATCTGTGTGTGTGTGTGGTATACACATGTATGTATCTGTATGTGTAGTGTTTATGCACATGTATGTATATATCTATGTGTGTGCATATGTATGTGTATGTATCTATGTATGTGGGGTGTGTGCACATGTATGTGTATGTATCTATGTATGTGGGGTATGTGCACATGTATGTGTATGTATCTATGTGTGTGGGGTGTGTGCACATGTATGTGTATGTATGTGTTTTGTGTGTATATGTATGTATATGTATGTGTGTTGTGTGCATGTGTATGTGTGTGTGTGTGTGTGTGTTGTGCACATGTGAGTGCAGGTACATGTGGAGTCCAGACGAAGGGGTCAGATCTGGAACTGGACTTTCAGTTGCCATCCTTGGGGGCTAGGAATTGAACTCTTAACCATTGAGCTACCTTTCCAGATATATGAAAAATGTATGTATATAGTATGTATAGTGTTTATGTAAGCACATTTTAAACAGATAGCAATGTTTCATGTTTGTATATTTAATTTTTTCCCCTGAGTTTAAGACTCAGATGTGGTTTCGGGCAAAATGTTACCTACCTAAGTTTCCTATCAGGGTTGTTTTGAAACCCCATCTGTGGAACGCTTCTTCTCTTTCAGAGTCACATTAAGTCCGTGGACTTGGGAGAAACGAACATAGACGGAGCCATAGGTGAGCGGACACGTTTGGTGCTTGTGAGTCGCGAAGGGCACGGGTGGACTCCTGCACTAACGATCTCTGTGATCCTAGGGATGGCGGCCTCGGAGGAGTTCATCAAGATCACCTTGTCGGCATTTGAGGCAGTGATACAGTACCCCGTTCTGCTGGCCGACTACCGCTCTACGGTCAGTTTCTAGGAAAGCCCTCAGTCATTTATTGATAATCCTGTGTACACGTGTGCCCGGTTGGCAGGTGTCCGTGCCACGGAGCAACCGTTCAAAATAACAGGGGGAGCCCTGGAAGGCGGGTTCCAATTTTGTTGGTTGGGAAGGGGTAGGTTTCTCTGAGTGTTCCCTTGACCTCCCAGACCCTTCTCCTCGGGGCCAGGAGCAGACAGCTGTGGGGAGGTTTTGCAGGCACTGGGGATGTGCCGACTCGGTAGCGCCCGTATTTCCGGCTGTCCTGGCTCCTCGTGTGCTTCAGGTCCTGTCCGAGCAGCCACTGACTGGGTTGTTCCCTTCTGTAGTACGAAGGCGTCTTGTAGACATCTTGCCTGTTTTTCCTCTCCACTCTACGCTGCTGTTACAGTTTCCTGATCCCTGCAGATGGGCTCCGCTTGGTGATGTGTTGTTTACATCTGGTTCACAGCGGCCAATGCCAGCATCAGAAGATGACCGTTCTCTCTGGTGTCGGTCACACTGTACTCCTGGCTCAGTCATCTCGTGTCTGTGACAGGACTGTCTTGTTGGCGCCGTACTTGTCCTTCCTCTCAAAGTCTTCTGTGTGCACACCTCCCTCCCTCCTCAGATGCCTCGTGTTGGCCTCTGCCAGGAACCTGCTGTCCTCATCGGGACCCTGTCAAGCCACAGGCTTCTCTGTGTCCTGGGAGCCATGTGTGCCCAAGGCTGGTGTCCTGTTCTAGAGTCAGATCCATCCTTGGCACAGACCCACATACCAGGCGGCTCACTCAGTGCTGGGCTGGGAGGAGCCAGCGATCCCGGGCATCCTGTGTTGGGTTGTGGGTGAGCGCCACAGTCGCAGTCGTCACCTCCGTCGGGAAGTGGGCCTCAAAGCTCTCCCGCTATCTTTTCAGGCTCTAGTAATGTTAGAACTTGGGTTTTCTGTATCTCAGCACAGTTTTCAGGGAGACAGTTGGCGCACGCTCCCGTGCACACCTCTGACGTAACAGGAAGGAGCCGTTCACGGCTGTGATTGAGATGTCACTCATGGATCCTGTTGCTTAATGAGCAACAACCTCATGGCTAATTTGTTCAGATCCAGTGTTTATAAGTATCTGTATTGCATTCAAATAGAAATTCAATTAGTGTGTTTTCTAATCATGAAACACAAGTGTGTTAATTATTGCCACTGCAGCCTCAATTGTGACAGAAAAGGCATCCTCACAACTTACCACTTCATAAAAAATGTTCTCTAATGCCGCAGCTCATGGGAAATCTTCTAATTATCTCTCCTTGGGCATGACTGGAATGCATGAGGAAAAAGACCTGTACCCCAGGGAGCCTGTGTGATTGTTTTAGATTTCGGCACATACCCCTACAAGGTTCCTGGTCGATACCTGCTCACAGGGAGGCAGCTAGCTGTGTTTAACTCTTGCTGAGCCCAGAGCCAGCCTAGGAGCGTCTCTGGGGTGTCTGGGCCCTTTAGCTCAGGAGGGGTCACTTAGAACTTGATTGCCAACGGGGCACTGTGTAGATCAGGTTGCCCTATGGGTGTGTCTGTAGGGATCGTCTTGGTTGTGGCAACTGTCGGGGGTGGGGAAGAGCCATTCTGTCTGTGTCCTGGTCTGTATAAAAGAGGAGACAGTGAGGGTGAGCTAGCCCAAAGCAGCATCAGGTAGCCACAGGGAATGCCCCCCCCATCCTCACATGTGCAGTCCAGAAGTTCGCACCCCAGTGGGATGAGGTGCCCTTCCTGACTGACACTGATGAGACTCTAGGCAAGGGTTAAGTGTAACTAGGGGCTCTCTAAACTTCTCTCTTACCTCTCCTCTCTGGCCTCCTTAACTTGAGACAGTTTGAAGTTCCTTTTATCTGTAGTAAAGTTTTTTTTTTTTGTGAACCAGCTCTTTAAAGGAAGGCTGGGGAGTGCAGTGAGTTGAGCATGCTTGTTTTCCTCTGCTCTGATCCAGCCTGGGCTTGTAGGGGGTTGGTGTGCGTTCGTGTGTGCGTGTGCGTGCGTGTGTGTGCTAAGAAAAACAGAGCAGGGCCAAGGTTTGCAGGACACAGTGTGGATAGGGGACCCTCAGGGTGTGACAGCCCTAGGCAGTCTGCTGATTTGTGTCTGATTGTATAAGAGTGCATTTCTTCTTTTTTTCTGGGGGGGCGGTTTGAGGCGGGGTTTGTCTGTGTAGTTCTGGCTGTCCTGAAACTTGCTCTTGTAGACCAGGTTGGCCTCAAACTCTCAGAGATCCACCTGCCTCTACCTCCCATGTGCGGGATTAAAGGCGTGCACCACCACTGCCCAGCTAAGAATGCATTTCTTAACCTGAGTGTGCAAGGGAAGTCAAGTGTTAATCAGGACGGGAAGTGTCTGCTAGAGACAGAGGGTGCGGGTGCATGTGGCCGTGCTTGGCTTGTCCTTCTCTCCCTGGGAGAGACGTTCAAGAAAGTAAGCCTGAATAGCCGTCCTAAGGTCAGGCTCACTTGGCCAGGGTGACCTTGCCGGGGAGTTGACTGACAGGGTTGAGAGGAATGGGGTGGAAGAGAGCAGTGAGGAATGATGTCATGGACATTTGGGGTTGTTTCTTATATGTAATCATGGAGGTATGGAATTCTGTGTGTGAGTTGGTTTTATTCTCTGCCCAAGGAAAGGCAAGTTACATAAGGTAAGGGATGCTGTGGCCAGAGAAACACCCAGGGTGGGTGATCGGTTAGCATTTGAACCACTCAGCTCTGGATGTCACCTTTTGGAGATTTCTTTATCTCAATGATCCTTTGTTGGACCCCCACACTGGTGAAATCGGCTCTTTCCCAAAGTGTTTGCTGGAGTAGAAGTACTATTGGGTGCCCTACCCTCATATCCCTGTGTGGGACAGTGCCGGAAGTCCAGTCAACCCCGCAGAGTGGTTTTACTGGCACTGGACATTGATGCTTTCCAGAATTTCATTTTCAGAGTGTTGCTTTAAGTATGCAAGCTATTGTGCATGCAGTTTTATGGAAAACCATTCATACTGAAACATCAATTGATAACACGTTTTCACTGGTGCTGGGCCCATGCCGCCACGCACACTGAGCCCTGGCTGAGCTCAGCACCCTGCACCGCTGTCTGACTCCCTCAGCACTCCTCCAGCTACTGGAGAGGAGGTCGGGGGGGGGGCATGAGCTACGTGGTCATGGGGAAAGGCCAGCCTGCCTTCTGAATTTAGATTTCCAACTTGTCTGGTATCTTCTAGATGGTACCTCTAGATGACAGCTTTGATTCTGTCTTGGGCATTGTCAAATGAGTACACTTGGTACTTCCATCTGCAAGAAACCAAAGACAGAAGAGACGTCAAGTGGCCAGATCATCCCATGGCGGGGTCGTCACAGTCGGGTTGTCACAGGCTCTAAGGACCTCTGGTCTGAAACCGAGTGACTGTCTATTTCTGAGAACCAGAGTGAAGCCACGGCGTCACACATACCCACCCTTCCCAGAAACCCGAGCTCACCGCCCTTTCTTCCCTTATGTGTGTGCTTGTGCTACAGACGATCAGAGTTTAGCTCTGAGTAACCACCACGCTTTGAGAGTAGTGGTGTGAGACTGCCGGCTGGTCTATATAATTTACTTTGTGTTTGTTTAAACAATGTAGCTGACGGTGTCGGCAGGCACAGGAGTCACGCGTTCATGTTAGGACAGCCAGCTGCACACCTCGCTCAACCAGTGTTGTCTTCAAAGTAGACACAATGATGCTTGAGAAATGTCTGCAAGATTGCGTGTTGAACATCTTGTAACAACTCCAGGAACCAAAAACATTTCTTGGCCCTGTGTCCTGAAGACTATAATTACATAATATTTTAAATTATATTTTCATGTTTTCCTTTTTGCTAGGGTCATTCATTATATAGTAAGGTGCATATTCTGCCAAAAGAGAGATGGACTCCTTTTCCTTTTTGGATCTGTAAGACAATGTCCTGTTTTGAAAACCACAGGTTATGAAATAAGATATTAATAAAATAGATCAGATTGCTTTTCTACTCTCTCAGTCCTTTAGTGTGAATAGCTGAGTGGACACCTTGCTCATGTAATTATTTTTTTTCTGTGCACATGCATCTTTGCAGGGTATGCACACATGAGTGCAGTGCCCACAGAGGCCAGAAGAGGGTGCTAGATCCCCCCTAGAGCTGGATTACAGGTAGCTGCGGAGTCGTTCAACATGGTGCTTGGAACAGAATTTCAGTCGTCTGCAAGAGCAGTGTGCGCTTGCAACTGCTGAGGCGTCTCTTCAACACCCCTGCATCTACTGAGTAGCCTTCTGACAAAGAAATCCATGCAGTAGAATTGAAGGGCATAGTCTTCCCATTTACATATTTAATTCTGACCTGATGCAGGTTTCTCTGCAGGGGTTTTCTCACTTCTGAAGACAGAGTTTGTAACTGTGGACACTGTTGCAATTGCCTGGGGACAGGGAAGAAAAGCCACGTTGATTAAAACAAAAGATGGTAGAATTAGATTCTGGAAGTGTTTGAATACACGGCAGGGTTGCATGCCGCCCTCCTTAGTAGTGTGGGCTGTTAAGCCATCTGCATTCTTGGGTGAAGTGATTTCCCCCCACTAAGTACAGTAGGGAGATTTCTGTTTCTCTTGCGTAATCAGGTCACAGAGGAGTGAAACTCTTGAGTCTTCAGAGTATGGGTGGTGGCGTGGGACGGCTTTCTGACTTCCTGTGTCAAGTTCTCAAGTGTTTGTAGTTTCTGCCTCCTGTCTTTGTGAAGACTTGCAGGCCCTGAGTCTGTTTTGTTTGGGTTTAAGTTAGCTGGGTTAAAGTGTTATCTCTCTTAAATCCCATGTGTCTGACGTCCCTGGGGCTGAGTGATTGTGTGTCTGCCCGCTGCTGTGGAGGCCTCTCTGCTTTGGAGAGAGTGCGCTCTTCGTATCTGCTGTCTAGTTCTTGGCCTTCCTCCTCCTCCTCGGCGGTTTGTTTGAATGTGTTTTACACAGCCGCCCACCCTCACGTCCCAGCCCTGCAGACAAACCTCCAGCCATGGTCCTTGCTTCTTGATTAGTTTAAGGGGGATCGTGATGCTTGGCAGGACCCAGAATGGCTGCAGGCGGGCCTCTGGATGTATCCAGATGCTTCTGGAATATCTAGATGAGGCTGGCTAAGGTAGGAGGACCCACAGGTGGGCAGCACATTCCTCAGGCAGTGTCCTCCCCGGTGAAAGGGAGAAAGCAGCCTGAGCACCAGCGTTCATCTCTCTGCCTCCTGACCGTGGGTCATGTGACCGGGCCCACCGTGAGGGACTGCACCCTCTCCCACCCAAGTCGCCTTTGGCTCCCGCTCCCCCCGCCCCCACCCCGTGCCCCCGACAGCGACTCTGCTGGTGGACAGACAGACCGGGGCTGGTGTCCAATAGCCATTTCCTGTTCAGAGCTCTGAGCCGCAGCCTCCTCTTTCTTGTCCTTTCTTCCAGGTCATCGATTACATTCTGCCACCCTTGGTCTCCTTGGTTCAAAGCCAGAATGGTGAGTGAGTCTGTGGCACTGGGAATCTGGTTTTGTTTCTCGGAGGTAACTGGGTGCTGCTGGGGACCTGGGGTGACCTGGTCCTCACCACCCTCCCTCCCTCCTGCCTCGGAAGCCCTGAAGGCCCCGGTGAGCACGTGCTCTGCCCTTACTCTGCCTGTGGACTCACGTTCTCGGCATTCTTTTCCCAGTGGAGTGGAGGCTCTTCAGCTTGCGGCTGCTGTCCGAGACCACAACCCTGCTGGTGAGCCAGGAGCTGCAGGACGGTGACGACGAGGCCAGCTGTGATTCCGACAGCAGCCTCCTGGCGCTCCTCCGGGACGAGCTGCTCCCCCAGTAAGCACCCTGCTGCCCACTCACATGGGGGCCGCTGGTGTCCAGCTGGCCCCAGCGATGGGGTCAGGTCTTGATGTCCCCGTGTCTTGGCACACACGCTCCTGGTCTCGAGCTCGAGAGGTCTAGGCACAGGCTGTGACTGTCCCACTGTGGAGGACCCAGAAGCGTCTCAGCCTCTGTGGGGCGTCGTTTGCTGGGTGCAGTACTCTCACACAGACTGAAAGGTGCTTCTAGCTGGGGGCGGGTGGCGTGGTGGTTATGACCCCAGAACATGGAATTGAGACTTCTGGCACACCTCAGAAATAAGGGTGATGGAGGCCAGCCTTCCCTTTGCCCAGACACTCTCCGGAGGGGAGTCAGAAGCCTGGGAGAACGATATGAACGTGGGGGGGGGTGGCGTGTTCTTCCCTCCTGTGGCTGCGTGACTCACACAGCTCGGTCACAGCAGCAGATCTTCAGGAGCCGTCGGGAGGCCCTGGCGAACTCTGAATGGAGTCCTGTGGCGCAGACAGCCCTCAGATAGCTCACACCGAACATGGTTTGTTTGTTTCCAGAGGGTCTCTCTTTCTCTCCGTAGCCCAGGCTTTCCCAGAACTTGCTGTGTCTCCCAGGCAGGCCTTGAGTTGATACCTTCAGCAGAGTGCTGACATTGTAGGCGCGCAGACCGCACCCGCTCGCAGGTGTGAGGAGGGGTGGCACCTCTCCCGTAGATCATTCTACAGGGTTAGATGTAAGGGTGTGTGTTTTGCATCTCTTCCCTCCTCAGGGTGGGGTGTGGTCTCAGTCAGATGAGTAGGTGTTCCAGAATGGGCGGCCTTGCCCGAGGTGCCCCTCTGTCTACTCGACAGTTCCCTGGCTGTGGCATGGAAGACAATTGCCACAGAAGAGACAGGTGAACCGTGTTGTGACGTTGCCAGTGCTGAGACCTTGAAACGCCTTAGGCAGAGCGAGATCCACTCTAAAACATGAGGTCGGAGTCTAACATTTCAGGTGGTGTCAGTCCCTGCCTGATGGGCTGAGTAAAGTGCATGATGGGAAGGGGCTTAGCTCTTCCAGTCAGGTGCAGGGCAGTGACAGGCCGGCCTCTTTGTCATTCCTCACTTCCTGCAGTGTGTGTGTGTATGTATGTATGTATGTATGTATGAGTGCCTGTGTATGGGTGAGTACCTGTGTGTGTACATATGTATGGATGTGTGGGTGAGTGCCTCTGTGTGTGTGTGTGTGGGAGGGTGAGTACCTGTGTGTGTGCGTGTGTGTGCATGCATGCATGCGTGTGTGTGTGTGTGTGTGTGTGTGTGTGTATGAGAGAGAGAGAGAGAGAGAGAGAGAGAGAGAGAGAGAGAAAGTGGGGAGAGAGGGAGAGGGAGAGAGAAGAGCGCACCTGTGTGTGCAGAGATCAGAGACAACTTTCAGGACTTGTTCCTCTCCTTCCACCATATGAGTTTCAGGGATGGATCTGGAGTCATCAGGCTTGGCAGCAAGCCCCTTTCCCCACTGAGCCCTCTTGCTGAACCTCCTGCTCAGCTTCAAACACAACTGAAGTCTCATTTTGCTGATGGCTCCCCTCTGAGGACTCTGGGGGAATTCTGCTTCAAGCCTCCTGTCTCATCAGTTCCATATGGCTTCTGTAAGACGTCACCACAGACAGCTGGCATGGATGACAGTCATGTGCTCGCTCTGTTAGCTCACAGGCTTGACTCCCAGACTCTCAGGACTCTGGCTTCTGGGCGGAGCTCCTCAGGCCATGTCTGCTCCATGACTTCACACCCCAGCCCCTCCCCTCCCCTCCATACCCCACTTCCATTCTGTCTCATAAGAAGATCTGACTGGTTTAGGGTCCGTCTGAGATTGGGTGGCAACAGCCCCAGGCCCTTAAGGTTTGCGGAGACTTTCTCCATGGCAGGGCGAGTCACATGCCCTGTGCTGGGAGGGCGCACCCCATGCTATGACTCAGCTGCCCTGCCCCTGAAAAGGCTTGTGCTCCTCAGACACACACTAAGCCAGCAGCTGTCAAGTCCCACTGTTCTCAGAATCTCTGCGATGGCTGCGTCACCATGTGCAGGGAACTCAGGCTGGTTGATGGTAGCCTCCGTCCTGTGGTTCAAGTCTGTTGGTCTGTCCACTGTGGGCATGTCCTTGCTTGTTTCGGAATCCCTCAGTTTTCCTTTTCTTCATGGTTGGGATTTGGGCAACTGCAGGCGAGGATGTAACGATATCACTAGACCCAAGATAAATGATGAATGGGTCCTTATCGGGGACGCTTGCACAGAAAAATACAAAGAACTGCCAGAGCGTTTCCCTGCTCTTCCTACCATATCCGCTGACTTTCCTACCAGATCTGCCGACCCGACAGAAAGAGTGCACCAAGGAAAGCCGCACCTCAAGCTCTTCTCTTTCTGTTCCTTCACCTGAAGCCACACCCAAAGGGGTGTGGCCACCGTTTCAGGTCCACAGACCCAGTGCCTACAGTTCCTCTTTTAGTCTAAAGAAGGTTTTAAGCCTGATGCAAAAGCTATATACAATGATAACAAATGTCAGGTATACTATAAGAAAAGGAAAGGCAAACATATACTAATTAAAACCTGTCAGAGCCCAGTGTTGGTGGCGCACGCCTATAATTCCAGCACTCGGGAGGCAGAGGCAGGTGGATCTCTGTGAGTTCAAAGCCAGCCTGGTCTACAGAGCAAGTTCCAGGACAGGCTCCAAACCTACAGAGAAACCTTGTCTTGAACGCCCCCCCCCAAAAACCCCCAAAAACCCCTATCAACCTGAGCAACATTAAGCAAAAGATATATACTATATGTCCAAAGTCAGGGTAAAGGCATGACAGAGATAGCAGCCCTAATCTGGAAATTCTAAATCTTGTCTAAGAGAAGAGAGGATATTGCTATAACTGTCTGGTCTTCAACCTCATCAAAGACCTGAGAAGGGAAATAACATTACTAGGGTAGGCAGAAGTACAAGTAAGCGACTTCCAAAAGGTGCAGTGAAGACAGAAACAGCAGGCTACCTGGACAGTCACCCAAGGTCTCACAGCAACGTCGGGCAACCAACTTTGGCCAAGGCCTAAAGTATCAGATGGACATCTCAGAAGCAGGGAAATTGAAAAACTGTCTTACCCTGACCTAGCAGGGTTCAACAGTCTTTAAGTTTATCTCCTGGAAGCTCAGCTAGGACAGCGTGTCCAAAGTCAGTGGTCAAGGTGGGAACCATTCTTTGCCCAAAAGGCCAGTAGCCGAGGAGAGAATGAACTCCTAATGGAATGTCATCGGTGCCCAACATACTCTCAGGAAGCTTGGTGCTGTCAGGAGCAATTGTGTCTCATGTCAACAGAGTACTAATATTAAAACATTTAAATGCCATATTCTGCAGGTCTGGGACGTGTTTGAAGATCAATTATCTATGACTAATGTCATAGGTATAAGAAGCATGGGTAACTATAATCTGTAATTCTCAGAGACGTAGCTGCTCAATGGCTGAAGCTTCCCAACATAATTTAGCAGGGGCAATGACTTCAAACAATGTAACTCTATGTACATATATACATATATATGTATACATGTATATACTTATATATAAATCACAATAACAGAAATAGAATTGAAATGTCTTGACTAGAGATAGAACTGTAAAGTGCAGTATGATAAAATGTCCTAAGTTGTATCAATATACAGAATATATACATAAAGATAGTTTTATATCTGTGTACAAAACATCATAAACAGAAAGAAGGCATACAAGAATCTAACAATTTATCTATAGCTAATAGTTGCTAAATTTAGTTCATAAGAAGATATGTTAATCTACCTATGTCCCATCCTAACCGTACCCTTGCCATCCATACCCCTAACCTTCTATAAGAGATACCTGAGTCTAGCCATTACCTTCCATACCCAATCCTATATAACTTAAAACCAACCCTAAGCAGGTGATAATTATTCCTTTTCAGTGATGAAAGAAAAAAAAACCCAAATACCCTTAATGCCAACTGTAGGGAAATGGGCGTTGTATTTCTTAGAATTACTTCTGGCTGAAATGGGGCAACGGTGACTTTATGGGATCCTGTAGGAAAAAAATTAAGGCAACTGAAAATCTCTAGAGGACTAGCTGTAACATTTGTAGCTAGTGTCTGAGTGACAGGAGGTTCTTGACTGGAGTTCTTATCTGAAGCTCTGGCCAGAGTGTTATAAGAAGGTGCACCATCTCAGCTACCTAGTCTGGAGTTGTATAGAGAAGCATTAGTCCTAAACTGGTCTTAGAGTGGTGTTTACCAGTTCAGAGACATCAAGTGGAGTCGATGAAGTGGGGCCCCATCTCCTTCCCGGGAGACTTCAACGATTGCATAAGTCAGATTCTTCTTTGATGGCTCTTTCTGCACAGCTATCCTTTCTCCTTGAGGCATCTACACGCCTGAGGTCTTTTAGCTTCTTGAACAAAATGAGAAGAGGGTTTTTCCTCTTAGGGGAGATAAATGTCACATCTTCCCAGAAAACCATCCTGGTTTTTATTCAGTGGGTGGACCAGGTTAGACTTCAGAGGGTCATGCTAAGCAGGAGAGGCTGTAGTTGAGCCCAGATCCTTGTTAATGAACATCAGATCTCTCAGGAGTCTGGAGCCCAAACCTATGTTGGTGAAGTCTGGGAAATGAAAGCGGTTTATGTACTTTCAGAGTTGACTGCAGAAGGTGACATCGTGTCTTGGTGGGGACAGGTCTGCAACTGTCACTTGGGGAGCTGACTCATCAGGCCCGTTCTTGGGGAGCAAGAACTCACTTCACATAAATGTAACTATAGATTGCCTCAGTTTACAACCTTGAAGGGATTTTAACCTTAGGGTAACTAGTGATGTTTCCAGTTTTTATTCCCAAGCGGGGTCCTTTTTACCCACTTGGAGTTGTGGAACTGATCACAACACCCAACAATTGCTGACCAATCGCAGCAGACTTTGTCCTTGGCCAGGAATAGTGGTGGGAGATAGGTGTTCGGGTCAGCTTCTCCTGTTCAGGGGTGAGGCTGTAGATGCGGGGTGGAAACGCAGGGGTGAGGCTGTAGATGCAGGGTGGAAACGCAGGGGTGAGGCTGTAGATGCGGGGTGGAAACGCAGGGGTGAGGCTGTAGATGCAGGGTGGAGACGCAGGGGTGAGGCTGTAGATGCGGGGTGGAGACGCAGGGGTGAGGCTGTAGATGCAGGGTGGAGACGCAGGGGTGAGGCTGTAGATTCGGGGTGGAAACGCAGGGGTGAGGGTGTAGACGCAGGGGTGAGAGTGTAGATGTGGGTGGAAATGCAGAGGTGAGGGTGTAGATGCAGGGTGGAAACACAGGGGTGAGGGTGTAGATGCGGGGTGGAAACGCAGGGGTGAGGGTGTAGATGCGGGGTGGAAACACAGGGGTGAGGGTGTAGATGCAGGGTGGAAACAGGGGTGAGGGTGTAGATATAGTGTGGAAACGCAGGGGTGAGGGTGTAGATGCAGGGTGGAAACGCAGGGGTGAGGGTGTAGACGCAGGGGTGAGAGTGTAGATGTGGGTGGAAATGCAGGGGTGAGGGTGTAGATGTGGGTGGAAACGCAGGGGTGAGGGTGTAGATGCAGGGGTGAGGGTGTAGATGTGGGTGGAAACACAGGGGTGAGGCTGTAGATGCAGGGTGGAAACGCAGGGGTGAGGCTGTAGATGCAGGGTGGAAACGCAGGGGTGAGGGTGTAGATGTGGGTGGAAACGCAGGGGTGAGGGTGTAGATGCGGGTGTAGATGCAGGGGTGAGGGTGTAGATGCAGGGGTGAGGGTGTAGACGCAGGGTGGAAACGCAGGGATTGAAGCAGGATAATAAAGGGCCGGGCAGTGTTCATGTCATTTCTGAGAATGGGTGGAGACTTTTCTGGGAACTTTTAATTTTGACTTTATTTTTTCTGCTTGTGTGTGGATATGTGTGTATCTGAGTGTGTGTGCCTAGAGAGGCAGGAGACTCTTCCTTGAGATGGTTCTGGAACAGCCTTGTCGCTGTCATGGAAGCACCCCACAGTGTGCTGGGTTCTGCAGGGTTTTATTCCCTCTGAGACGGCGCCAAGGAAAGAGCAGGGCTGCCTGTCCTGTGTCTCCTGTGGAGGCGAGAACCGATGGGGGCGGGGTGCAGGGGTGAGGGGTGAGCCGGTGAGCATCGGGCCTGCCGCAGCTGCAGTAACTTACGACTGCAGGGAACGTGGCATGATGCTGGCGGGAAGGCACAGGAACGACCTAAGAGCATTTCTGTCCTGACCTCGCAGTCAGGGTAAGCGAGCAGGCCTAGGGTAAAGTGCTTGACCTGGCTTTGGTCCCTTGCAACAGTTTTGAGCTTTCTGGTTTGTTTATTTTTTTCAGCCGAGTTCAGCATGGAAGGATCACACTGATAAAAGGTGTTTGCAATGTCATTAAGACAGAACGGCACCCGGCAACCCTCTCCCGGGAACTATAAGCACAGCCTTTCTTTCCTTTTCATTTTAAAAAAGGAATTCTCTCGTGACCTGTAAAATCGCCAGGGCCATCGTGACTTCATAAATCGCCAGGGCTCCATTCTTCAGATTGCAGGGGAGGAGCTTAATCCCTCCTCGCAGGTTGGAAGGCATTTCCTGTGAGGATTTGGGATTTAGATGCAGTCTCATCTATTGATGGCACTCCCAACACACTAATGGTTCTTTCTGTTAGCTGTGGCAGGAACACTGTGACTGTGACTTGTACTTTCTAATTTCTGTTCTTGTGGCTCAGAAGACATCTGGAAGTTTCTTTGGTTCCCTCAGGCACCAGGATAGTGCTCCCACGTGCATGGTTCCATGTGGGAGCGCTTGCCCAGCAGATGCAGGGAGAGAGGGAGAGGGAGAGAGAGGGAGAGAGAGGAAGGGAGGGAGGGAGGGAGGGAGAGAGAGGGAGGGAGGGAGGGAGGGAGGGAGGGTGGCCCGGGATAGAGAATGTGCAGTGTTTCAGTGAGCATGGGGCTGGCGTGAGCGTGGGGCTGGCGTGAGCGTGGGGCTGGCGCGTCTGTGCCTCTCTGCATGAGGGACTGAGATGTGGGATTCTCTCGTCACCTTCGTCTTCTCCCTTGAGACTGAGCCAAGAGTGTTCACTGTCACCGCTGCTGTGTCTTAGCCGTGGATGTAACCGTGGGCGCAGCGTGGGTGGGAGCGGGCTGGGGGAATGCCTGAGAGACACCAGCATGGACGCCTCCTGCGCGCTGGCCTCTGCTGGCTGCACAGTTCAGTGCTGGCTTTCCCATGTCACAAGGAGTGGGTGTCACCACCAACCCCCCCCCAGTCTCACCTGTGCAAGCCGCGTGCTCACAAGCGTGTGTGCTTTCCCCAGAGGCTGGCATGCCGCAGTCTGTCACGTACTGATGTTTAGGGCACGTGAGGGGGAAACGGTCATCTCTGGCGTTTTGTTCCTCAGGTACGAGTACATCCTCACGGAGCCTGACCCCGTTCCGGCCTATGCCCTGAAGCTGCTTGTTGCCATGACAGAACACAACCCCACGTTCACCAGGTATGGGGAGGCCACCCCCGTGGCTGCCGGGAGGAGGGGTGGGGGAGGGGGTGGGGGAGGGGGTGGGGAGGGGTGGGGGTCACTGTCCAGATTCCCTGCTCTGTGCTGTCGTCTTTGATGCCGCCTTGGCCTGAATTCACGTTTTCACCCCTGACTTGAGTTTGTGTCCTGTGGAATGGGTGATGCTTCAAGGCAATGAGGCTAGGCGGGGGGGGGGCGGGGGATGGCTCAGAGGACTGCGTTAGGGTTGGAAAACTTACGTAAACCTCAGATTCACGGATGAGTGTCTGCAGTCCCAGCACTCCCTGAGCCAGGAGAATCCTGGGAGCCAGCAGGCCAGGTAGCTCAGTGTACACACGGAAAAACAGCAAAGAGGCCAGGACAAGCTGGGGTTGTGTTCTGAGTGACACTCGTGACATGGTGTGTATGTGGCATGTGTGGTAGGAGCACCCTGGTTCACACACAAGTGCACACGAGCACATATCGTGCACACACACACACACACACACACGACCCAAATGATAAACTCTCTAAAGTAAAAAACAATTACGTACACACACGACCCAAATGATAAACTCTATAAAAGTAAAAAGCACAACTCAATACACAATAGCATTTGTGCGCGCACGTGTGTGTGCATGGTGTTTTTTTTTTCTTTTTTGAGACAAGGTCTCACTCCATAGTGGAGGCTGGCCTCTGACTCACCGTGTCCCCCAGGCTGGCATCAAACGCCAGGGTGCCCTGTCTGCAGTGAAGGGCCGTTACGTCTTGGTTGGGTGTGATGGTGGTTTTGCTCCCTCGTGTTCCAGCCAATGTGGCATGACAACTCAGGGCGCACCACACCTACACCCCTTTCCATTGTCCATTTTGAAGCTGTGTCCCCACAGTTTTTAGACCCCTCAGACCGAGCGCTCCATCCTCTCTTCCTAAAGGAGATTCAAGCCTGGGGTTCTCAGACATTCACATTGAGGACTTTCAAAGTCAGCACCATCTGTAGACACGCCTCACCCTGGAGTCTCCTGGGGAGGGTGACCCTCAGATGAGCACTGGTCTCCATTACATTGGCCTGCAGGTGTATCTGTGGGTGCGGTTCCTGACTGCCAATTGATGGGAGGTCTCAGCCCGCTGTGTGGAGGGCCATTCCCAGCAGGAGGCTGTGCTGTGTGAGGGAGGTAGCTCCTGCCTGAGTTCCTGCCCTGGCTCCCAGCCCAGGGCTCCTCTAGTTGCAATGGCCATGGTGTTTATCAGCGTCAGGAGGAGGGAGGGCAGAGCGTGCCTGTCTTTTCAGGTCGGCGGCCTTTGCCCAGCTGGTTTCCTGGTTTCTGTGCTGGGGTCAAGGCATGCCAGGCAAGTGCTCTTTCGTTCACTGAGCTGCACACACAGCCCTTGCTGGCATGACTGGAGTCTCTCCCCGCGCTGCAGGCTGACCTCAGACTCACAGTTCTCCCCCTCTCCAACAGACCTGCTGCCCTGTCTGGTTCTCACTCCCCCTGTGGCGTTTCCTCAGATGAGCCTCCTGGCCCTAGAGAAGTAGGAACACAGTGAGCCTCTCCAGAGGTCTCATTCTGAAAATGATCACATCGAGGCTTAGAAATTAGCTCACTGTAGTTTCTCCCCCTAAGCATTTTAAGGACAGGAGTCAGTGGACTGATTCTTAGAATGTGTCATCTCTGTCTTAAATTCTAACAGCAAAGCCACCAGGTTCTCTTGCCCCCACATCTCCTCAGTGTCTTGAGTCTGCCCTCCCAGTTGCAGGAGTTGGGATTTTGTCCATCCCGGACAGCTCCTATACGTATCCTCAGGAAGATGTGTGTGTGTTCTCAAGTGCTGTAGCTTTGCGTTCTGGTGGTCGATTTTTAAAAATTTAGACTATCATTGTTGTCTTGAAAATGGACTTTTAAAAAATTTATCAAAACCCCTTGGTGCTCTGTGCTCGTGGTGACGCCTTTGCTAAACTAACATGTGAAGATGGGATTTCATTTTCTTTAGCCGTCACCCAGCTACTCATAGCAGTGAATCTTCTCAGGGTTTGTCGTCTGTGTCAAATTAAAACAAAAGAGCTTCATTGCAGGCTGTGTGTGGTGCGGCTCCATTAACCCAGCACTCTGGAGGCAGGAGCTGATGCAGAGGCCATGGAGGAGAGCTGCAGCTAGACTTTGGGTTTATTTCTCAGAAAACCTAGACTCTGGGTTTTATTCCCAGAACTTGGTTAAAAATGCACTTTGAGTAGGATGTTTTGCAAATATTTTTCTTTTTGACTCATGTAGTCTTGGCTGTCCTTGAACTTGCTATGCAGGGGTGGCTAACCTTGAACTTGTGGTCTTCCTGTATGCACCTCTTGGACAGAATGAACGGTACTACAGTGCTGGATCTTCATCTGCATCTAACAGACCCCTTTCTGGAGGAATGCTTATCTTTTAGACTCTGAGATGTGGTTGACAACATGGGCTGAGTGTCACATTGTCACGCATGGGCAGGTAGCTACAGAAGGCACCGGTTCATCGAAGGGCCTGGGCTGGTGGTTCCCAGGGACTCTGTTCATAGTCGGACTCCTCAGCCGCTGCTGGTCCCAGCCGAGAGGCTGTGTGAGCCAGCCGAGGACTGCTGGCCACCTGTCCCTGCTCCCGCTGTGCGCCAGGGATCTCTAGGCGTGTGCCTTTACGTGGTTGTCACTCTGGCATGAGAAGTGAGTGCCATTGCGTGCCAGCATAATTGCAGAGTGCTGCGTGGTCATGTCTTGATCTGTTGTCTCCTTCTTTGCTTTCTTCTTCACGTCCGAATGGCACATTAGCCAATCAATCTCCTGTCTGTTTGGGCCTTGTGCTGAGGGCTGTCAACCCTAGTTTTGGCAAGTGTCTGCAGTTTCACTCTGTGTCGAGGGACTTGGTGGCCGTGGGTCTGTGTAGATGCATGTCACGAGAAGCAGTCTTTTTGTTTTGTTTTGTTTTGTTTTTTTTTTTTTTCGAGACAGGGTTTCTCTGTATTGTTTTGGAGGCTGTGCTGGAACTCGCTCTGTAGACCAGGCTGGCCTGGAACTCACAGAGATCCACCTGACTCTGCCTCCCGAGTGCTGGGATTAAAGGCGTGTGCCACCAACACCCAGCTGAGAAGCAGTCTTTAAGTGTTCTGTGTAGAGGTGTTTCTTGTGAAATCTTAACCAGGAGTCATTTGTAATCAACACACTGATTGGACCATCATTCTCAATTCTCATAGGAGCATCTATCTTGTCGCATTGAGAATCAAAATACATGTTGGGGTTTAAAAATACCCCCTGTAGCTGGGCGTTGGTGGCATACACCTTTAATCCCAGCACTCGGGAGGCAGAGGCAGGCGGATCTCTGAGTTTGAGGCCAGCCTGGTCTACAGAGAGAGTTCCAGGACAGCCTCCAAACAATACAGAGAAACCCTGGCTTGAAAAACCAAACCAAACCAACAACAACAACAAAAACCAAAACAAAACCTGTGCCACGCGAAACATTACCTTAAACATTGTTTTGCTATATTTTCATTTCCACATGTATACATGTGGGAACACACGTAGACACGAGAGGACAGCTTGGGGAGGTTGGCTCTTTCCCTCCACTTTGTGGGTCCCAGGGATTGAATTCAGGTCCTCAGGCGTGGCTGCAAGGACCATTGCCTGCTAAACTGTCTTGATCCTCCTGACATTGTTTTTTAAAATTTTATTTTATGGATTTTTAGCAGGCAAAGCAACCCTTAAAAGCTGGGCACTGGTACTGTTGAGGACTTGCTTTCCTCACTTGGAAACAGAGCCGAGTACGTACTGTGGCGGTTTGAAGGAGAGTGCCCCTCCCGTGTGCTTGAGTGCTGATCCACAGTGGCACTGTTTGGGAAGGACTGGGAGGTGTGTCCTTGGGGCTCTGAGATTTCAAAAGGATGTAAAGCTCTCAGCTACTGCTCCAGAAGCACGTCTGTCTGTTTCCCATCACAAGGATACAGACTACTAACCCCCAAATCTGTGTGCAGCCCCCCAATTAAATGCCTTCTTTTTCAAGAGTTTCCTTGGTCATGGTATCTCTTCACAGCAACAGAACAGTGACTAGGAAGTGATCAAATCCACGTTCTAATTTGCTGTGGTTTTAGTGTTCTCAAAGCCTGTGGACTGGGACTGTTAACTGCTCAGTGCAGCTTGTGGGAGGTGGGATCTCCGGGTGATGCTCGAGTCACTGGAGTGGGTCTTAGTGACGTACCTTAGGGACGAGGTGTTGTGGGACAGTGGCCCCCGTTTCTGTCATCTGCGTAAGCCCTTGTCCATTCTGCCTCCTGCCACATTCTATTGTCCCTCACCAGCCATAGCCACCCACTCTGGGCTTCCTAGTTTCCCACGCTGTAAGCCTAAGTAAGCTTTGGTCCCTTATTAATCACCTGGTCATGGGTGTCCTGTTATAGCAACATAAAGTGGACAAAGACATGAGCGATGTGGATTTTATTTTATTTTATTAGCACTGTTGCCCTGGTAAATCTCACGTACAGTTGAGTTCATAACAAAGGTAAACTGTTTCCACAGTAGCTCTTTCTGACTGTCGGAGGGATGAGCAGACTCCCCAGGGCCCTGTCCTTTTGCTTCTTAAATTTACATCGGGCTGCAGCAAACCATCCCCCCGAGAGAGCGGCGCTCCTGTGGTCTGTTTGCCTTGCCAGTCTGTTAGCTCTCAGTCACTGCCCTCGGCAGAGGAGGTGCATTTTAATCCCGAGTCCTTTTGCAGCAGAACTGACCTTTTTCCAGAATCATGCTGGAGGTCATTTATGTTCTATATCTAAGAAGAAACATCATCACAGTTTGTTCAAAATGTTAATGGCTCGATTTGTTTTATGGCAAGATTCATAAAGATGCTTTTTACAAAAATGAAACTCGATAAATGGAGCCCCCAGGAATCAGCGTCTCGTGCCCTTCAGGAAAACACTCAAGCCTGCTCCCTGACGCACTCAGTGAGGTGTGGCTGTGGTCAGGTGGAGTCGGGGGGCTGAGGCAGGAGGGT